AAAGCTTAAGAGATGTTTCATGGTTTTTGAATGGTTAAATGCATACCATTGAACTAAAACTTCACAATTTTCATTGACAGACAAGATCCTGTCATCCTACTAGTATTTTATCTAATTCCGTATTACCCAGACAAGGATAAAGGAACCAAGAGATCTCCGTTATCTCACGATAGGTTAATTAGACAGAACGATGTAAGGAGCAATGTGTTAGTATGTCTTCTGAGAATGAAAGAAGGGGCAGGACGTGCTGATTTCTTACATTTTTTCACCAGCTTGTTGAATGATACATTTGTATTCCTCCACTCTCTTGCTCGCTCTTTCATTGTCTTCTGAATCATGGCATATTCTCCAGATTTCTAGTTTTCATTTATCTTGTAGAGTTAATGAATCTGTTTATGTGTTTTTTAGATTGCTTTTAGGCTCCATCTTTGACGTTTTATTTAAAATTCCTTCTGGCTTGTTTGGACAGCATGCATGCCAGTAGTTGTTTCATGATAATAAATTACTTTTCCCATTCAGGGAAGGTTTCCGCAACAGATTAGAAACTATCGTACGCAGTCAAGCTAGCAGCAATTCTGAAACCACATCTAACAATAATCCTAGTGAGTCTAGAAATGATGTGGCTCAAGCAAATACCTCACAGAATGTTGAAGATGAAACCAATGAGCATTCGCAACCAGTGAATCAGGAAAGTGCAGGTCATCGGTTGCCTGATCAAATAAGTGGTATAGAGGGCAACTCTGCTGTTGAGAGTATAAGTTGGCAGGGGAATTCTAATGAAGGAGGGAATTGGCAAGAACAGATTACGGGAGATGAGAGAGGAAACTGGCAGCAGGCAGCTTACACTCAGTTCAATGAGTGGAGGGAAGGTAATGCAGATGAGATGGGTACAAGTTGGCAAGAAAATCCGGTTACTGATTGGCGTCAAGAAGCTACTGCAAGTGTAAATGAAGAAGCTCGCCTACAGGAAGATGATCGGGTTTGGCATGAGGATGGCTCTAGGGAAACTGTTGAGAATTGGTCAGAAGTGCCTGCTGATCCACCCAGAGCTCGTCGAGCAGTTCCTTTTAGAAGATTCAACCGATTTCATCCACCTGATGATGAGAACGTATACAGTATGGAACTCAGGGAGCTTTTGAGCAGGTAGTTTGATTGTTTTAGCATTCCTTTTATGTGCTAAGCAAATAGGATCTAGCTTTGACATTTAATTATATTTTCAAATGTTGTAGGAGAAGCGTTTCTAATCTTCTCCGTAGTGGTTTCCGAGAAAGTCTGGACCAGTTAATACAATCGTATGTGGAAAGGCAAGGTCGTTCTCCAATTGACTGGGATCTGCATAGAAATGTACCGACACCAACTCCTGCCTCACCAGAGCAGGGTCAGGATCAGCAGACGGATGAACAGAATGAGGACCAACGCGATGGCATTAACAGACCATCACTGGTGCTGCCATCAGCTCCAGTGCCTCCACCACAACCTATATGGCACCAGGATTTACATCATACAAGCTGGTCTCGTCATAGCGTGCACCGTTCAGAAATAGTAAGCCATATTACTTCAAGATTGGAACTGAACCTACTGATGACCTTGATCTTCTGTTTTTCATGGAGTTTTTTGTTGGCCATCGTGTTTTTTGTTTGAGAAATTGAGTTTTTAGGATTTTCAATATATTTTTGTTGGTACTTTCCATAGCATTTTAAGGTAAAACCACGCCGGAACCTGCTGCTATTTGGATATAACATAGTATCAATCACCAAATATCTTGAAAGAGGAATTTTAGCTGCCATGTTAGGACTGACATTTCATACAATTTTGAATTTTTAGAGATCATGATTCCGAGTGTCTTGTTTCATGCTCACGTTTACATAATATAAATATACTTTGGTAACTGCTTAATCTTTGCCTAAGCTAGTTCTAAAGATATCATTTTCATTGATTTTGTGGATTGTATCAGCTTAGTTGGTGATGAAACCTGGGTAAGATATTTGTTATCATCTTTATGTTCCTAAGTTCTCCGTGGCTGCTGATCTGGTTCAGGAATGGGAGATTATTAATGACCTGCGAGCAGATATGGCGCGGCTTCAGCAAGGTATGAGCCACATGCAGAGGATGCTTGAGGCCTGCATGGATATGCAATTGGAGTTGCAGCGCTCTGTAAGACAAGAAGTATCTGCAGCTTTGAATCGATCTGGTGGTGAAAAAGGTGTGCGCATTTTCTTCTGTGATCATACTTGCTTTTCTATTCTCGTCAAGGATCACCTTGTGGAGACACCTTTTAGATTTTCCTGAATATCATCCTTTTCTTTTAGATTAATAGGCTTGATTATCTACTTCCTGTCCCCTCTGTTGGGAGTCTCATTAATGATTTATATTTTAGTACTGGGTGCAGAGACCTCGGAGGATGGGTCGAGATGGGGTCACGTAAGAAAAGGGACTTGCTGTGTCTGTTGTGACAGCCATATTGATTCTCTCTTGTACAGGTAAGCCTGCTGATATTTTTGTGCATCACCTGTGGCGGTGTCCTTTTCTTTAGTTATTCATTCACAAAAAAACTCAAATGGATGTGTGAAGAGGTGCGAAATTTCTTACACAACATCATTTTGCTAAAACTGGAAATTGCTTGCAGATGCGGGCACATGTGCACTTGTTCAAAATGTGCAAACGAGTTGGTTCGTGGCGGGGGAAAGTGCCCATTATGCCGAGCACCAATTGTTGAGGTGATCAGAGCATACTCGATACTGTAAAAAGGGTGAAAGATAGAATAAACTTTTTAACAGAATGAGTGGTAAGGTCTTGGGGGAAGAGAGCCAATATTTTGGTGGTCTCTTATTTGTAGAGTGTTTAGATGTTACCGATGTTTTTCTGATTATATGTGGAACATATCTGCGATGTATAATTGGAATAACAAATGGTATCATTGATTCATCATTCATGGGTAAATAAAATGTTAACCATCAGATTCTTTTTCTTCATTCTCTGTCTCGATCTCTTCTCTGCCAACATGCAGCTGCTGCCTGTATACGCTAAACCTTCTCTCTTGAGTAAAGCAGCATGTCATTTAAGAGCAAGGGAACTATAGATAGGTGTTTTTTTTTTTTTTTTTTCTCCTTTCGATGATCGAAGTCCCTTCGGTGAAAGCAGTAGTATTAAGTGAAAGATTCGTTAATGTCATTTTCACCAACAACTTTGGTTGAGACTTTGGTGGGACTTTTCTTGGGGAAAAGATTTGGGTTTCGTATCTTTCATGCATGTAATTCAAGCTTGTACTTCCATCAAAGAAGAGATTCGTCCTGACTGAGAAAAATGTCAATTTCTCCATGGGTTTCAGAGTCTTCTTTTTGTTCTTTTCATATCATTAAGATTTGGGCTATGTTTGAAATAGGCGAATGGAATTTATATCTAATTTAGTTTGGAAAGAGTTGAAATTTTCATTTAAAACAATATAAACTGATATTGAAACATTTTTGAAAAATGAGGTTTGTGATTTACAATCAGATGGTCCAAGTTATATGTGATTCAAGTTCAACTTTTAGTGTAAAATGAAACAAGTATAAGGGCACGTTTAGGTATTCATTCTAAGTTTTAAGGGATGGAAGTTTCTTGGATCTAGTGGGTTGCATCTTGAGGGTTTCTCGGCTTGTCTGCAAGATCCAAGAAGGAAGATTGGCTGTGTGTCTCAAACTGGTTTCATGGAGCAGCAAAAACCTCCTCTCTCTCTCTCTCTCTCTCTCTCTCTCTCTCTCTCTCTCTCTCTTATTGGAAGGATAATGGTTTCGTAACCATTCTTAGAAAAAGAAGCTATTCAGAGGGAAAAAAAAAAGTTTGAAGGGAGTTGAAAATAAACATAAATCTATTTAGTGATACAAAAACGACAAAAGATTAAATTTGACGTTGAGGTAAGTTAACAGGAAGTTATATATAAATAATGTTTTTGTCTTGTCATGTATTTGAGATAATGAGGTAAATAAATAATAATAATTAAAACAAAAGACAACAACAATAAATAAAAGTAATACTAAATATAACAACGACGATAATAGTAACAATGATAATGACAACAACAATAATAACAGTAGTAAAAATGATAATGTCAAACGATAATAATAATAATTACGGTGATAGTGATGGTAATAGTTAAAAATAAATATTACTAAAAATAACAATGACGATAGTAGTAATGATAGTGATAATGATAGTAGCGATAACAATGATAATGATAATAACAATAATAAATATAATATAAATAATAAATATACTTACAATGAAGACAATAAGAATTATAATAACACTTTCAATGATAATAAACACGGTAGTAATAAATTTGATTAATATATACAAATACGAAGGTGGGGGGAGGGGGGTATATAATGTGTTTACTAACATAGATAAAAATACAAATTGGACATTTTGGTAAATTTTATGTCGTATTTTCATAAATATTTACTTAAACATTGTTTTTATTTTCAACTACTAAATACGTATAAGATATAAAAACATAGAAATCAAGAATTAAAGATATATATATATATACACACGCACACACATGTAGTTCTTAAAAAATATTATCCAGTAGCTTCCTATAAAATGAAACTGGAACTTCCAATTTTTAACAAAAGTAATGTTCCAAACAGAGTTCTTCAACTTCAATTTCCATGACCGCTACCTCTGCTGACATAAACCTAGAGCTCTATTCTACAATTCATTATCAAGGGACATTAATATAATCTTCCAATGTCAAGTTTTCCTTCAATCTCCACCCTATTACAATTAAAAACAAATAAATAGATAAATTTTTATTAACTTCATTTCATTTAAAATTAATATTTTAAAATAAATTTATATTAAATTTAAATTTTTTTAAAATAATCTATTAAAAATAAATATAAATAAAATATTTTAAAAAATAAATTTTTATTTTTTAAAATAAATATGTTTTAAATATAATCAAAAATAAATTTTATTTAAATTTAAATTAATAAATTCTATATTTATCTTCAAAATCAAATAAAGCAGCCCCATGAATAATATTATGGGCCACAATTTTCCGTATATAATAGTAGTAGTTACAGAAAAAATTTCTATGCCAAGAAGGTGCTACAACTGCTTCTTGCATTACACTATGCCGCTGCTGCCAACCTCGGACGGGAAGCAGTCATATTAATCAAATATATATACTTTATAATTTAAGAAAAATGTAGACCTCCAAAAAATGGGTAAGAAAATAAAAGAATTTGAAAAAGGTTAATTAGTTGAACTCCTGAAGGAGAAAAAGAATTGGATCACCATGAGGCAGAAAACCATTTTAGGCTCATGAAAACCAGCTCCTCCTGTTCTTTCCGGCTTTAAGCTTTAACACGAGTTGTTCTTTTTGATCTTCTACCTCAGCATATTTGATGCTCATTTGAAGGTAACGCTCGCGTAAATCTCTCAACTCCGCTTCCAGATATGAAACCTTGTGCTCATATCCCTCTTTGTTTGCCATTCCGTCTTCAATGGTTGATGTCATGGGAATTTCTAAATGAGAACTTGGTACCTGGGACAACATGCTGAAGATAAGCAGCAGTTAGAACACTCATAAGCCATGTAAACACGTGTATACCATATTACATGTAAAAAGATGAGTAGTACTCTAGGTTCAAATAATACAAGCTAAATAGCTTTCAGGCACAAATCATTGTTCCTAGAAAAATGTTGAATTCAAATCACTAGTGATTGATTTTTAACGATTTCATATCAGGAAAATATGGTTCAATTTTCTTCACAAACATTAAAATTTTCCAATCAACTAAAACTCGTATAACATCTTTCACTCTTTGTCTTCAAGTAGGTGAGATTTGGGAGGAGCACAAGGCTGGCTAGTCATTATTCTCTGTTGGTTAAAGACTATTGAATTTCAACAACTCAGGATAGTGCACAGGCGTACTTCGCCAAACAATTTTTCAGCCATAACCAGACATTATAGATAAAAATGGATTACACAGAAAATAATTTGCACCTTATTATGTTTGCTTACTAGTGAGTGGATGAAGGAACTCACCGGTGACAACTAATCCACTAGATCTATTTATTCTCTTGGTCAAACCATTTGTTGACACCTGACAAACCACCTACCAAATTCTGTTACCTTTATCTAGCAGGGATATAATCCTGACCCGATAAGGGCGCTTCGCCCATTTCCATCAAAAAATTCGTGTCGGGGTAAACTTTGCTATCTAGCCTTATAATTTTTATTATTTTGCCAAATAATTCCTATCAGGCCCTATTTACTAATAACCAAAGACTGTAAAAGCATTTTAGGCCATTTTTGACA